TAGGACTGTCAATAAATAATTTAGGTAAAGTATCTAATTTTGTAGCAAACGTTTGACTTTATTTTGAATCGCTAGTCTGTTACAAATCTAAATTAGCAATGATCAGTGTTAGCTGCCTGTAAATATTTACACAAGTACTTTTGATGCCCATACTTTCAGGTAGCATGAATTTTTGGTGTAATTATCTCCAAGCTAAAGCAAAACTATGGATCTGTGCTCTTCGCCTTTGCTATATTTTAATTATTCATAACTTCCGCTTTGTACTTTGTCTGCCAGATCCGCGTTCCCACTCACGAAGATGGCCGGTGCCTTTTCTGGGAGTTCGCAACCGACAAATATGATCTCGGTTTTGGATTATATTTCGAATGGACCTTAACTCCACCTGATAAAATTACTGTCAATGTATCTGAGTCTAGCGACGAAGAGGAAGATGAAGAGGACGGAGAAAACGAGGAAAGTACCGAGCGCCGCCAGAGTGCAGGTAGACAATTTGCAATCGTAATTTACCCAGACATACAGCTTCACACTTTAGATCAGTGATGCCATTAGACTAGTTAGTCACCCATAGTTACTTTTTCAATTTTCATATTTTGGACTTCATTTTGAAAATCCCAAAGTAATCAGTACTTAATGTTAGCAATAATGCTAGCAATGGGACAATTCTATGAAATTCTAGCATCAATCTATGGCCGGCATTTTACCTATTAATAATTAATCATAACATTTTTATGCCTATAACAAGATTGCATCATTTCATTTCATCGAACAATCTCTCTGGTTTAGGTGAGGATCCTGAGTTATCTGCCGGTGACCTAGAGCGTGGCTCTCACAAGGGTGAGATTCGGGTGCCTACGGACGAATTGATACCTGTCTACCGACGTGACTGTCACTTAGCTGTGCATTGTGGCAGTCATTTGTATCCTGGTTGCGGAGTCTACGTTCTTAAATTTGACAATTCCTACTCAGTCTGGCGATCCAAATGGCTTTACTATCGTGTATACTTTGCTCGGTAGACATGCGCTCGCTATTTTCATCCCTCTATGTATTCATATTTTAATCTATATGAGCCAACTGATGCACGTGTTACTGCATAAAAACATATGCACAAGCCCATACTCGCGCACATGCATATATATGTCAATTTATATATATATATATATGAGCATTTTTGGTTTCTATACAAGTACGGAACTCTTTTGCATTTTAATTTGTACGAACTTGGCTTTTACGAAATACCCACAAAATGAAGCCTACTAGGTACTTTTGTCCATTTTCTTCGCCACTCACTACTTTATTATCATTAAGCTACTCCTAGGATGGAATAGCATTGGCCTCTGCCCTATTTCTTGCTAATCTGTTTTCACCTGGATCGTCTTTTTTGGCGTTCACCTGATAGTGTATAGTCACCAAAATTTTACTTGCCGTGAATGTATTTGTATCCATGCCACCATTACTATTGTCAGTCTGGTTCACGAATTGGTAAACACATCTTTAGGAACCTCTTGGAAATTT